ATATTGTGAAAAGGAAGATTCTTTTGATAAAGCGCATTACAAAAGAAGGTCTGATGTATATGTAAGTGTTGGTTCTAAGTTGTATTTGTAAGTTGTAAAGAAACTCAATGTTGTGAAATTGCATTTTGATGTAACGCTTTTTATTATTTTAGAATGTAGGGATGGTAGCTTATTATGTTGCAACAAAAGGAAAACATCCTTTTGGAACTAAACTATATAGACAGATCAACATAATAAATGGAAACCCTGTTGGTTTGGATGAAATCGAGGATGAAACACTAAAGGACCTTCTATCGTGGATGTTAAATCTAAAACCTGAAGACAGACCATATTCTAACGAAGCATTAAAACACCCGTTTCTCATGTCAGAGGATGAGAAGTTTGAAATGTTAAGTAAAGTTGGGAACCTTCAACAGATTAAGACAAATGATCCCCAGTCAAGTGTCGCTCAACAATTGAATAGTGAATCCGTACATTTGAAAAGTCAAATGGATTGTGATGTTTATGATTATTTGGTGAATGGAAGGACCTATAAATCTTTATGGACAGAATGCTTAAGACTTATTCGAAATATTGATCAGCATTGGAACGATCGACCACGACCTCTACCACAACCAGAACCATTTTATAAGATTGGCGATTACAGGGCGTATTTTCTCCAAACATTTCCTAATCTCCCTGTTCGGGTACATGCTGCTGTCAGGTCAAATGAAGAATTGAAAAATAAACCAGAACTCAAAAAATTTTTTTATTTTAATGAAAGCGAACCACATCAATAAACAATTTAGATACAACAGAACCTGTTAGGGGTAAAAAAAGTAGCTATTAAGAAATCATTGATACTATAGAGATCTTATTTTATAGATATAAAGAAAAACAGTTTCCACGACGTATTTAGATGATATTTAACCACATTTCTGGTGAATTCTGGTGAATCTATAGCCTGTGGTATTCATTGATACAATGTATATATTTAATCTTTACTGTCAATTGTTTTGGAAAAAGACTGAAGGTGAATAAGACATTAAAAGATAATTTTTATGTTTGGCTGCACTGATAAATTTTGCACTACATTTATCCAACATAATATACTCGTATACGATAAAATTTCTGAAATTATTATAATTACTAAAAGTCTGGCCTTGGTGTTTTGGGCTCTTGGGGGTTCGTTATCGTATAAATCTGACCATCAGAAATTGTGCGTAATTCCATAAGTAGAATCTTTTGTGTTTAACTATCTCATATTAATTACGTAGCTGATCCATATAAAATAGTTAAATTAAATAACATTTTCATTAGATTGAGTGATTGACAGCATTTTGTCTAATAATTTGTTTATGGACTCAATCATATTTTAATTAGTTGTATAGAAAAATATTCATAGTTGTCATCATTTTTCTGATACTTTGCTTATTTCATGCGCTGTAACCCTTACAATTATTTTGTGCCTAAATCTATACAAGTAAAATGCAAGTGCTATGTATTTAAGATCATCTTTTAAGTCTTGATATATTGAGGCTTATGCTATGTCCGACTCATCTAAGTTGTGACGTCATATTGAAAAATGAGAGCTAAGAGTATTAGGTATATTTACCGATACTTTACTTCAACATGACATAGTTTCATTTATTGTGACGTGTTTGATAGTATGAAATGCTGCCTATTAGTATGAACCTAAAGTTGTCAGAAAAATAAAGAGTATTTGAAACATTTTTATAACTGTCATTTCAAACGTTCTGGTCATTGCAAACATAAAAATTTTCAACGTCATAAGTAGTTGTACATTTCCAAGTATAACATTGGGCTGAATTGTAAGGGATATTCTATACCACTTAGTAAATATGTATGCTTTATAACTTATGAAGCGATAGTTACATCTGATAAACCACCTGCTGAAATTAGCTATCCACCAGCTAGAGGACCAACTTTCACTTGAGGGAAACGAATGTAAGTTATAATCCCATTTACCCCCAAAATTGGATGGAAGTGTCAATAACCATTATGAACATTTTTAGAAAGCCAAAATTTAATTTACTCAAATTGAAGCATTCGTATGTACTATTTTTTGAAGCATTCGTATATACTATTATATGTCATAAAAATTGACTATTCTTTACACATAAACTACGTAAAAAGAAAAAAATCATCTCCTTTACGTTAAAGACTTCTTACGTTGAAGACTGGACCACACACATTTGCCAATAAAATTATAACTGAGAACATAATTATTTCAAATATATGCATAACCATAAATGCATTTCCTATTACAATGTACAAGTTGAGATGTTTACGTCAGAAATTACTTAAAAACTTCAACTATAATATGGGCATTTCTAACACAAAAACAGTGTATTGGGAATCAAACCCAAAGACTAAATTGTACCGCTCCTAAAAGATGTTTGTGACATTTTTTATAAATTAAAGCTGTTTAGACCAAATCAAACTGATCATCAATTCTTAAAATAATTCAGAAATTTTGTCTTCCAAAGATTGTCTTCCGAAAAAATGGTTCACGTTAACGTTAAAGATAGGCAGAAAAACTAAACATGGTATATTTTTCCAATGAATGATAAGAAATATTAAGAATGATAAGAATGATAAGAAATATTAAGCAATTATAACTTATAAAAAGTTCAATGTTGATCACAGTTTGTAACAGCTTTTGCCATCTAGCACAGTTTTCCAAAATTCTTATGCATTTTTTGATGTTTGAAACATTTACCTTTGCTTTATTTACATTTTTTAGATGAAATAGTTTTACCAAAAAAAAATTAATAAGGAGAAAATGAATATGAAATTAATACTGATTATCCTAATTGTTTTGGTAAATAAAACTCACGCTTCATTATTCTCCATTCACAAATGTTGCATGTGGTTAACGTAAGATTTATAAGTAACTTTATAATATAAAAAGATGTACGCAAGCGTACACGTGGGTAGACCTAAATGGGTAAATAGGGCTAAATGAAGTTGGTAAATGAACATAATTGAAATAAAATTGCATATTTAATATCATTTACACCAAATTCGCTCAATTTTTAAATATTGATTTTAGTTATATCACTAAGTAAGTGTTTAACATTTCTGCATTTTTTGAACGTTTTAGCTTAGATTGCACCTGAACCTCATAAATGCATGTGCTCACAAGAATCGCGACAAGGAAAGTAACGTCATTTAGATTTCTTGAGACTTTTAGGTTTTTTTCCACTGAATACCATTTTCCTATGATTGTGTTTTAAAAACGTTTTCTGAAGTGTCTTAGATGTTGTTCAGAGAACGTTTTTCTTCGCAACGATGAATACTGTATTTGTTCTAACAAATACAGCGGTGTGCTAATTTTATATAGTTCCGCTTGACTGAATAAATAGCAACATGTAATATAATACAAGTCAACTTTTGAGTCGTAATGTTTCTGTAAAATTTTGAAATCCAGAGCTTGGGAACAGCATTTCCTGCGATTTGGAAGGCGAATTATTTGTTGTACAATACGTTATAAAAACACGTTTACTGCTACACTCAATTAAAATCATAAAAAAACTGGCAATTTGAGTCGCTCGGTTTCACGACGATTGACTGGAACTGGGGACAAGTAGCAAGGCTTCACTTGCCGTCCCTGATTTCGACTGATTGCTACAACACGCGCAACACTTCCAAACTTCCAGCCCGAGTTTGGATCGCCCTGGCGCGAAAAGATATGATGATGATGATGATGATGACTGGAACTTCCCGTCATTTGAGGAAAGCGTGACGTCATGTAAGTAACATTTCAGCAAGCGTGCATTAAAAATATAGTGAAATATATACTTTGATTTGCCTAATCGCTGTATAGTTGCTGGCTGTTCTAGCGTTCCTTGCCCGGAAAAGGGCATAGGACTTCACCGCATTCCTTTTTATGGATCAGAAGATCCTATAAAAAAGAAAAGGAGGAAAAAGTGGCTGGATTTTGTCGCTTTAAAACGAGCAAAATGCCCAATATCAAAGATGTCGAGCATTTGCTCGCTGCACTTCAAACCTGAAGATTTTACCAGACGGTATACAAGTTTGCAAGGGCAAACAAGTAGACTGGTGTCTGTCGAAGTTGGTGTGTTTGCTTTTCCTTCTGTTCATCTCTCAGAAAGACTGATGAAAGAAAGTACGCCTTCTGAAAGGAATCGTAGACAGGTAAGGATTTTTGTTTTGAATCCTATATATAATCCGCGTAAGACTGATAACTTTGAAAAAGGAAGCTTGTTTTATATTCGTCAAAGATTTTGTGATGGAAATTTAATTTTTGCAGTTGATACCATATTGTATTTTGTTGTAGGTTGTTAGAGATTTTTTGTCTAGTACAGAAGCAGGTCCTTGCTCTTCTAGTCAAACACTTTAGAGCTGAAATTGCTACCTCTTTGGAAGACAGTGATACTGATGTTGAATTTGTTGATGATGTCTTGCGAGTTCCAACAATTGCAGTACAAGCAGAAGTACAGGTATTGACAAGGTCGGAATTAGCGCTTCGCAAATCGCAAATTGCGAAGTGATTTCGATTTTGGCGAAATATTGCGAAGCAAATTTCGTAAAATTGCGAAGCTCATTTCGCATTTCTTGTTATTTAATGTAAATTTGCTTACTGAAAGCACTCTTTTTATATTGCTGTGATGGATGTGTTTTTATTATGCTTTGCGACCACTCCCTAAGTTTTAAAATACGTCAAAAGAAATATCAAATGATCAAATTCCCGGTTTCACATGAACAATTTCCCAAGACAACTGGCAGCGCTAAACGTGGATGGAGCTTCGGTAAATTTGGGTAGCATAAACGGACTTGCAGCCAAACTTCGCAAAGACTCACCATGGCTGCTTACTATTCATTGCTTCAACCATCGCCTTGAACTGGCTGTTAAAGACGCATTTAAAGGAACGGGTATGGTGTCACAACAGTTAGACACTTCTTTTGTTTAAGATGTTGAATTTCAGAATAATGTGTTCATAATATATACATTACTCATTTAATCAGAATTTGACGAAGTGGATGAGCTCCTGACTAAATTGTATTACTTGTACCAAAAGTCGGCAAAGCGCTATCGCGAATTGAAGGGATTCAGCGAGATTTTCGAAAAGAGCATAGCAAAGCCAGCCAAAGCCTTTGGAGCGAGATGAATCACCCACAAGTTGAAAGCCATGGAGACCTTTGTTGCCAATTATGGCGCATACATGCTACACATTGAGTCATTGTCCCAAACAGATTCGGTGCCAGCAAAAAGAGAAGAATTGAAGGGTTTTTTGTCAAAATGGACGTATGCAAAGTATCCTATGCTGATGACAGTATACATTGACATTTTGACGCCTTTGAAGGTAATTAGTATAACGCTTCAATGTTCAGATTTGCTGTCTCATCACAACATATATAATCTGGTGCAAAATTTAGAGTTGTGACTTTTATTTTTAGGTTCTTAGCCTGGGATTCCAAAAGGAAGTTCACGACCCTATTAAAGCGGTGAAGCGCATTAATGAATTTGAGTGGACTATGGTCAAACTAAAAGAATTGATCAATAAATGTGTTCAGGACGACTCCGAAAAACTTATTAATTTTACACGGTTTTTGAAGGAGTGCGAAGCCACAACGTCCGACGACGGTAAGTAATTGATGAATGAGTCCCTGACTTTACGTACGCTTGAAATGTTTTTTTACAGAGTAGAACCTCACCAACCTTTGACAAAACGTCAAAAAATTACCAGGCATCAAGTGGAAGAACTTGAAGACGATGAAGATGAAGCAGGTACTTTTAAATGTTATAATTAGTGTTTTGTAAATGTAATACTTTATGTCGTAACATTGCCTTTTCTGTTTCTGAAGATGTTTCTTACCAAAAAATAAAGCTAAAAGGGTTTAATGCGTCCCGGAGGAAAGTAACGAAAACTTATGAAAAAATGATTAATGCAGTGTCTAGGAGTGTGCAAGGAAGATTTGAAGAGTTCCGAGAAAGTGTGGTGTTTAAAAATCTGCCAGTCATATTGGACTTTGCAAGCCCAAGGACGACGAAGCACTTAAGCGGTATGGCGACAAGGCAATTTTAGAACTGAAAGAGTTTTACCAGGCTTTACTTGTTCAGAATGGATGCAACATTGACAAAGTCGTCTCAGAATGGAATCGTTTGAAGGTTTGAATAGTAAATGCATCGTTTTCCTTTCGTATTATACAGTTGGATAACTGAATATTTCTTCTGCTAGTGCCACGTCAAAAGCTACATAGTTGGAGCAGAAAAAAAGGGAAAATATGTAAATGTATGGCAAAGCATCTGGGAAAATGTTTATGCAAAAGAGTGCAAAATGTACTGCATATAATTGAATTGTTGCTCATAACACCATTCACGAATGCCAAGGTGGAGCGTTTATTTAGCCGAATGAACAGAATTAAGACAACTCTGCGAAATCGTTTGAGTACACAACGACTCGACGCTCAGCTAAGAATTGGTGAAGAAGGATGCCCGCTAGCTGAATTCAATGCGGAGGAAGCTCCAATATTGGCTAGAGCAAAAGATTAGACGCCCAAATGGTGCAAAACCACGAAAGTATCCAGCAGAAAGGCAATCAAAGTCAGCGTCATCTACAAACGTTTTGATATTGCAGCAGCTACGCTTTCCGATTTGGAAGAGAACGAATGCGAGGATTTTAGTTTATAGTTTTAAAATTAATAAAAAATATTGGCGTAATCATGTGCATTGTAAAAATTGCGAGAGGAAAGTAAATCGGGGGTCGATCGGAACGGGGGTCGGTAGGAACTTATTCGAAAAAAGTTGCGAAGCAATTTTTTTGCGATAATTCGGACCTTGATTGAATTTATTCCAATAATTTATTCAAAATACTTTTTACACTAGTAGATTGTAAGATCTAAAGATTATATCTTTTTTTGTAAGTTCAGAATGGGTTTTGCCAATCTGAAGAAGAATATTGCAGGCAATGTGTTCAATACAAAGAAAACATAAGGCAATTGAAGAGAAGGATAGAAAGCAAGAATGCTATTATCCAACAACTTACTGAAGGTAAATTGTTTCATTACATTTAATTTGGTTTCTTCAAGAACATATATTCTTGTGGTGTCTCTAAGTCATTTAAATAAGTACATGGCTGCAATTAAATTACTAAAATATGAGTATTGTAACACCTGTGTATATCATGATTTCATAGAAAAAAAGAAATTACGTAAACTTGTTGGAACAGTAGTAAAATGTGTCAAGGTGGATAATCAGAATAGGAAGAAAAGCAGGATGGTAGTGATGATGATAACATGGATATGGATATTGACACTGGTAGTGAGATGGAAAATGAAGGTGAAGTTTGATTTCAATGCTAATAGCTGAAATTATATACCACAAGTTTTATTAACATATAAATATGATCCATAGGTTCTGACAACTATGACATTGAAACTGATTCTTCCCAAAGTAAAGAGCTAGAATCTGAAGATGAAACAAACCAGTCAAAAAAGTATGATTGTGCTGTACATATGCATTATTTAGTCTTCCAGTGTTATCAATCATTTTATTTGAGTCTCTCGACAGACAAAATATAATATATACATGTATTGTTCTAACAATCAAGGTGAACAAAGAAGAAAGCAACCTCAGGAAGCAACCAAAGTTTATTGTCACCCTGCCACAGCTGTTGCTCCTGTTTAAAGTATGCCCATCATGGTACTGATAAGTCAATAGTTGAAGATCAAAAGTTGGTACTATGGCTGATAGTACCAACTTTTGATCTTCAACTATTGACTTATCAGTACCATGGCTGATAGAGTCATGTGGCAACCTTAATTGTAAAAATAGAGAGTACGACTGGAAGTGACAATCATTCCTGCCTGGTTCCCGTATTGCAATGGGAAACTTTCTCCTCTCATTTGCCATTTTATTGTCTGCAGCTTCTGCTAGCAAGGTACTTTGAGTATTCACACACATGGGTCTTCAAGGCATATCTTTGACCACATTCTTCAAACATCAAAGGGTAAGTGGGTTGTTTTGATTTCCTGATTCTCAAGGCTTGAAGTTGTGTTTTTTTATATACATTTGATATTTCTTTATCATAAATTGCTTTTCCCAATGGTCAGGATCCATTGGAGGAAATACAAGCTGGCCATGTTGGAAACAATTGAGAAGCAGAAGAAAACAGTGGTCATTGCAGGAGATGGCAGACATGATAGCATGGGCCATTTTGCAAAATATTGTGCTTACACAATATTTTGTTGCTCTGTGCCCATGATTCTCCAATTTGATCTAATTCAAGTATGTCTTATTGATCTACTTTGTATGACACATTGAGGGTGGCTATATTTACCCCACCCCCTACTTTGTATGACACATTGAGGGTGGCTATATTTACCTCACCCCCTGCTTTGTATGACACATTCAGGGTGGCTATGTTTACCCCACCCCTTACTTTTAATGGCTAATGTATGATGGTGGGATTTTGTTCGAGAGGTTTTTGTAATGGGAAGTATGCTTTCTCATATTTTCAACCTATGTTTTTAGACACAAATTTTCTAGAGACAATAGTCTCTGCTATATTTTAAGAGATGTGGTGTAAAGCTAGCTCAGGAAGGCAGGGATATCACTTTGTTCACTCTAATTTAGTACACATGTAAATATTTTTCTGTTTAAATCACAATTTTTATTTTAGAGAAACGAGGCGGGAAGTAGTCCAGCCATGGAATACATCGGTTTTCAAAGATGTATGGATTACATGCTGAACTGTAGACTCGATATTTCTACCATGGTGACAGACTGCCACAATTCAATATAGAAGCACATGCGTGAGAATCTGAATCAAATAACACATTATTTTGACCTATGGCACATTAAGAAAAGTTAGTACAGTTATTGTATAAAAGATGTAGGTTGTGTTCTGTTTCGTCATTGTGGCTAAGTTCAGCAGCTAACAGAAAACCATCCTTTAAGGTCTTTTCACCTTCCTTCAATTTTTTATTCTTTTCATTTGATAAATGCTTTCATATTTGCTCAATCTGCAGAGGTCCTGATCCAAAATGTCCCGAAGATCAAGAAAAAATAAGAAGAAAAACGTAGGTGAAAATATTCCATAGTTATGACGCGGGAAATTCTCATACAGCTGTATCAATTTTTGCTTCGGACGGTTCTAAACGAAAATTCACTTGCCTTTTATTTATTGCGAAAGAAACTAGTCTATACATCTCTTTATCTACTAATGTGAAACTTACTTTTTGAACTGTGTTGACTTTCTATAAAACCTATGTAGGCTTTCCCGGACGATTTCACAAAACGTGAATTGAAAAATATTCGTTTACATTGTCTTTCTGAACATTGCAAATGGTTTGGTGCCTATGAAGAAATGGAAGTGAGATGAGCTGAGAAATTTATGAGAAAAGCCTGACCTTATTACTTACTAATTTAAGTTTCTTTATTGTCAGGGTCATTCTCAAGTTTGTGAGCATGCGCTCGTCAGCTGCGTACATAAGCAGTGTAACATTCAGTTACTTCGCTCTCTTCTTGATGAACATTTGAAGAATGAATGTGAATATCGAAATGTGAAATGTGAATATTGTGGTAAAGATGTCCTGTATGCTTCATTTAAGGTACGAGGAATATTCGTTGACTGATCAAAGTAACATTGAGTTAAGTACAAAGAAATATTCAAGACAGAATATTTCTAGAAAACATTTTTACCATGAGAACCGGAAAAATAATTGAACCTATTTACAAAAATCTACTTATTAAGTCGATTACAATAAGTTGCCTTTTCGGACCTGCAAGAAAATAACATATATGATTATTAGAAAATGGTAGTCTATATATTATTTTTATTTGTCTTACCACCTACAACAACATTGACATGTTTGTCTGTAAAAGATGCCATTTAAATGGAAAACTGAATCGTCTGCTGTATGTATATCTTCTTAATTTAATTTATATAAACATATGGATCAAAGTACGTAGTACGTACGTCGGATATAAGAAATTATCTCGCGCTACAACGTCATCTCATACGCACGAGAAACAAAACAAGTGAACAAAACTTTAATCGTTACGGCACCTTTTTCACATTTAAACAACAATGTCTTTTTTGTATAAATAATAAAACAATCATTGAATTGGGTTTTCACGTAATATAAAGAATTATCAAGGCATCAATGTGTTCCATCTGCCTCAGCGTTGGTAGACTGAACAAACCTTGACCTTCATAAGTCTTAATTCATATACTATTTTATTCAATAATTATTTAATATCACGCTAAGCAAATTGTATATTATAAATCTAATCATGCAATTTGAGTTAAGAAAATTTAAAACTTGCACAAATCTAATACCTGCACTAAAATGAACGTTTTTAAAGTACGCATTATGTATATGTGTCCATTCCATTTTGCTTTACTTATAATTGAAGGACAATGAAAGACACATGCTCACTTTCTTAAAGTGCACATGCCAATAATGTTATTGTGTATTTTTCTCAACTTACACAGACAAGAAAATACAAATATGTTAACTATGAGATTACGGAGTAAAAAAAGTTGAGTTCTCCCTGTCTAAGTTGAGAAGATCAATCAAAGAAAAAATGGCATCTATATACTTTACCCAGCAATCTATGATGACAATGACATTTTACCTTTAATCTGGAACCACCTTGCTTGCCTGGAGCATATTTTAAAAATTCGGCAATTTGCTCTTCTACGTTGGCTTCGCTGCAACATTTTTAAGCTTTGAGGCAGGCTTCTAACAAGTGAAACAAAACAGAAAAGACATACTTTATATAAATTGCATAGATGAAACACTAAATCCTTTTCGTAAGCTGAATGATAAACAACAATTCATTATAGTGACCTATGTAAAACAGTTTAATGTATTAGCTTTTAAAACTTGCAACAATATTCCTTATGACAAGGAGCAACATAAATGGCTGTTTTTCCAATTCAATAACGAGAAAAAAGAGACAAAACATGGTACTGCTGCAGCAAACATTATCGTCTAATTGTGCTTACTTGTTATAACTTTGCAGAGGGCAAGGTGTTGAAATGGTCGCTTGACTTTCTGCATTTTAAACTATGTTGGTGCCATAGATTATTGGTTCCCAGCTTTGTCATAATTCTTCTAACACTGTTTGCACAGGTGTTTGCGCACAGTGCTACCAAAAACTGCAGCTAGTAAAGAGAATAAAAGATAAATTATATGGAAAAGTTCAGTTTAGACATATATAAATAACCATTTTGATCTCGAATTGCAAAACACAACCATCCAAAGTGAATGGTGAGAGCTTTTAGAAAGACCAGATTCTTCGTTAAAAATTTTCAGTGCAAATAAAACGACACACTCCTAAGAGCCGTTTGAAGTATCGCAAGGTATTTAAATCAATCAGAACACGACAATGCTCTCAATAAAAACACGAAGCTAGATTCATATAGTTTAATCAGATAATCTGACCCCCTAACGTCACGAAAATCGTCATTATAATTACGTTTCAGACTTTGACAAACGTGCATGTTTTCAAGCTTCAAACACAAATGGTAGAAAAGAAGTCAATATTATGTTACGTAGTTGCAAATGAAACAATCTTTTTCACGTTTCCAAACCGATAAAGGGGAAGCGCTATGCCTTCATTTGTCACATTTTTTTACGTAACACTTGAAAAAGTCATGCATAAAAAATAGGCAGTACCAATATATATTACTAAATACGTATGGGTGGTTTACTTTCCAAAACTTACCAACTTTCTTCTGGACTTTTCTTCAACAAGACTAGAGGATAGGCCCTCAAGTTCTTCAACCGAATCAAAGGCATCAGGTACAACATCTTCCAAAATTTCGTGCTCGTCTACACCTTTCGTAACGCTTAACAGAGCACGCAATATTGACAACGTTTCTTCTTGTTTATCAATTAATGTTTCCAGTTTGGTGAAGACTGATCTTTGGAAGCCTACAAGATAGATAAGAAAATAATAGAATAACTTATGTATAGTCTACGTAATATCTTAAAAATATAAAACCTTACAACATGCTAACAAGAAAATTCAACTAAAACTCGCATCAAATTGCTAATTGAATACGCATACATAATAACAACGCTATTCAAAAACTATATACTGTAGAAAAGGTACCATTAATGTTTGGTTGAGAACGTCTTTCTGCAGGTGTTATGTTCATAAAACTTGTCGAAGGCGTTTCGTGCGATGAAAGGTCATGCGCATCTGCAAAGCAATCACGTGTTGCAGTTAGTTCTGAAGAAAAAAAAACATTTCAAACGACACGAAATGAACGTAAAGGAAAACCTAACAACAAGACATGCAATAATGAATTGTAAGAAAAGCTTGCCTAAGACACCACTGTTTCGTTGAGAATGTCTTTCTATTGTTGTGCCAGTTGTAGGAATTCCTTGTGAAGAGAAGTTGCTTCTACTTACAGAGAAGACACGTACTGGGTTTAACATATATCTTTATTGAACGCACGAACGTCATTTAAATTAAAGCACTGCAAGTTTCAAAAATCAGAAACAGAAAGGTGACTAAAATAAAAACCTCGAGAAAGTTTCATTAAGTAGTTTCATAGCAAACGCTGAGAATTAGATTTGAACGAATGTATTTTAATTAAATCGTGGTGAACACAACTGTAATTTTAACTATAACTAACATTTTTTCAACTAATTACAACATTTTAAAGGACCAACGCCTACAATACCTGTAGAACTTACATAAGCCCTATAATGCAACGATGGACGTAGAAAAACAGTAAATGTACAATACGAATGTTAAAGTTATTTAAAAAGAATCAATCAAAATTATTTCAACATTTTAGTCAACATATTACATGAAAGTTGATGATTAGTCAGTTCTGATGACAGAAAACTTACCACTACGTTGAGATGTCCTTCTAGTAGATGGGGAAGTTATTGCATGATCCTTTGTGTTTAGGATTTCTTGTGCTAGTTCACCGTCATATAAATCTAGATCAACATGGAAAGAGAAATTTTATACATGCATGTTTCTGTAAAAAATTGTCCACTTGTACGAGGATTATAATTGCGCTTATACCTTTTTCTGCAAGGGAGATCAGCTCGCTGTACACCGGCAAATCTAAAAAGCAAAATCACTCATTACATTTAAATGCAACGTAGCAATATGTGAAGACTGTACTCCTTCGAATAAAGCAATGGCCTATTGCATTGCAACTACAGTACTTATTTCTAGAATTTGTTGATAAGATTTCATTGACGGCTGAAAGAAATTTTGCTTGTATACAAAAGAAACTGTCTGAATTCTGTAGCTTTCCATCTGTCAACCTCCATTAAACACCTAGGTTTTCGCACAAATGTAGAGGGGATGAATGGTTTAAGCTCCACCAATTTTTTACTAACAGCCTCTACGTTGGCAACAGACATTTTAGCAGCGTGATTTCCCTTAATCCAAACCATAATCAATTTACGCAAAACACCCAGACACAGTTGATGCATGTAGTCAATTAGATATTGTTTTACCATATCAACAGGCAAGTGACAGAAAGGGCTAACAAAGCGATGATGTTCTTCTAGTATCTGCTTTCTAAAAGAAATATTAGAGTGCAATTCTATATTATTATTTTGAGAGTAAGTCACTCGACCAAGCCACTTTCCTTTTTGTGTACACTTGTCACAACTAAAATAACCAGTACAAAGTTTTGTACCTTTAACAAGTGCTCTTGCAGGAGCATCACAAACAATGCCCCTTACTGTAACAGTCAGAGCCTTTTCCTCATCTTGGACTCCCCTCTCTAGAATACCCTTTAAATCTTCTATAAACTCATCCTAAAACTCCAAGACTTTTAGCTTGAAGTCACTACATGTTAGGACAATAGAAAACATTACAACAGGTTTAATATTCAAAATGGCACACAACACTGGTTATACATTTTTTGCAGAAATCTTCTAAACAAAGGAAGCACATCAACATTTAAAGAGATTTCAAGATGATTATTGTTCTTAACTGTTTCACAAGGATGCTTGTGAAAGTGCTTTAACAATTGTTCACCAAAAGAAAAGTACACATAATCCATGCCAGATTTTTTCTGAATTGGAATACATCTTGATGTATGCAACAAAGTGCAAGCACAACTAGGAAAATTTGGATGACCATTATCCTTATGATGAGAAAGCAAACCATCAACAGCATTTTGCTTAATTGAATACTCATTCACCCAATCAACTAACCCATCTTGAAAAGAAACATTCAAACTATCATCTTCAAAATCAGAAGAATCAGAAAAATTCCTTTCCCCAATGTCTGCATTCACATGCACTAAAGAATCAGCTTTTGCATGGCCAAAAGAAACATCTAAAATATCCACTTCACCAGAAACAGCACGGTCCTTTCCCCCAATATTACAATCATTAAGACCAACTTTCAAAGAGAAAGAGCTTTGTTTAGGACTGGCAATGGCTCGAGCTGATTTTTGTAAAGGTTATGAATGTTCATGGTCATTGTCAAAAATATTATTGAACAGATTACTACAGCCATCATCATTAGGCATTGCATCACTGCATCTTAAAGCTTTATTAGCAGCAATCCACTTTTTCTGTATTGCGCCTGGTCATGTTTCATTATGATATGAACTAAAATAAATAATAAAATATAACTGTCAATCTATTTATTTTTAATTGATTTAAACATATCCTAATGTTACAACCTATTCTCCCTAAGCTCTAGTGATCACAACATTTAGCAAAATGTTTTAATAAAAAAAATGATGAATCTCATTCACAGGTCATGGTAACTTATATGTCTCCTCAACCATTTGTAATTTATTCTCTTCTTTACATGCATGTATCATACCTAACTTATACATAACCCTAAAATTTTAAGTATAACATTATAGTTTACTTGCTAACAACAGCAAATGGAAAATGTTCTAAGCAACTAAGTAAAAATAATTTAACTGACATAGCAAGCTTACTAAAGAAATAGGCTAAGTTCAATAAACCAATCTAAGAGATAAAAAAGTGGGTTGTAAACTACATATTGTCTTGAATGCAATAATTGGACAAACGATACTTACTAGTATTATAAAGCAACCATGCATTGTTATGAATGAACATTCAATTACCTTTTTGTAAAATTATATCACTGTTTAAAAACTGCTGTGATTTGCAATAGAAAGTACAACTATTTTAAGGTTTAAGGCTACGTGATTCTTAATCAAAAACATATTGTAAATCACATAATCACATAACCTCATGTTAAAAAATATTAATCATCACCGCTTATCAGTCAGTCAGTTAATATAATTCCAGATATGCTAAAACGTGATATTTACGTAAGATTTCAGATATAAAATAGAATTTTGACAATGAAATTCATACGATAATACATCGAGAATTCAATGATCACAAAAAATTGTAATCATTAAATTTGATAAGTAATTGTTGAACTATAAACAGCAGTCGCGTGAATGATTTGACATACCCTAGATCCGCCCCTGCATGTTATGACAATAACAACCATACGTACTGATGAATACCATATATATCCAAATGCTGTAGCAAGGTGTAGTGATAATATTATTTTTATAAAATAAAAATAGAAAATTAAAACTAAGAATAAACTAAGCTTAGTAAATTTGTTTGTTCCTACACCAATATACCCAGACTCATAAAGTCACGGCTAAAGTAACATATGACAATCTCTAGATTATAAAAAATGATAAAATAAAGGTACTTACTACAATTTTTACGCATTGAAACATATTCTAGATCATAACTGCCTCTAAACTTGGAAAGCGAGCTGTGAATTATCTTGCCTTGACAACTATGAGGCAAATTCGATTCTTGAACGAGTGATTTTCAAATGAACACGAACGCCAATGTTTTACAGGTATCGAAATAATTTTGATGTCAAATTGATTTAAATAACTTTACTCATCCATGACAGATATTTGAGATAAGTAAAACGTCGCCAAATGCTTTAAATATTCGAAAATCCTTGTTTGTAAACGTTATCTGCCAAACATTTCTATAGTAATTTGTACCTCTAGTGGGTAACCGGAAGTATATTTTGCTTGTACAATTACGCTTCACATTTAGACCCCGTCCACACGTATACGGATATTTTCGTATCCGCAACTTTTTTGTTGCGGATCAGGTAGCACAAAAAAATGTTGTTGCGTCCACACGTATACGGATATTATCCGGATTTACTCTAGTTCCCATGACTTTTAGCGCTATCAGTTACCCGCACATATTTTATAACTTGGCGATAAATTGGTTAGCAATTGTGAATTCGGTCAGTGTTAAAGGTTTTTCGGCTTTGTCTGATTAAACATGTCATTATTTGGTCAGAAATCGAAGAAAAATGAGAAAAGCAAGACGGACTCCTTTATTTGGAGTGATGATGAGGTCGAACTCTTACTAAAAGTAACATTAGAATATAAAACATCCAACGCTATGGAGAATGTCGATTGGGAATCGATCAGAAGCAAGTATGATGACATTTTTAAACGTTTCATTGAGCAGTATCCTTCGTCGGAAAATGCCCTGATGATGGGGAAAGATTACCCCCACCCAAACGAAGAACTTTCCAAATCAGTGTTGACATCCAAATTAAAAATGGTTCGAAAGAAGTTCAGGGAAGCTGTTGATTCAGGTAGGAAAAGTGGACATGGCCGCGTAGTATTGCTATACTTTGAACTATGCGAGCAAATATTGGGTGGTTCTCCTGCCGCGAGTACGATAGCAGATGGAATCGAGACCGCTGAAATCGACGACGAACACAGCTTGAACCCAGAAAGTCCATATTATATTCTTAATGGAACTATCAGCCCTGAATTAGAAAATGAAAATAGCCCTGGTGATGCAACTAGTGATGCTAACATATCAACAGACAATGTCTCAACCTCCAGTAGCTCATCTTCCAGGGGTCAAGTCAAAGAGAGAAGGGACCTCCTTAATGCAAGATTACAAGGATACAAGAGTGAGAAACTCAAAAGAAAAATGCCTGTTGATGCACAACTCATTAACATATCACATGAAGAACTTCAAATAAAGAAACAACTCCTAGAGAGAATGGATAACATGGACAAGGCTTACTCCAACCAAATGGAAAAGCTCTCTAGTAACATGGAAAAACTCACTGATTCAATATCTGAAGGATTTGTTTTATTGAGGCAAATGATGTGTCCTGCACCAGGTGTGATTCAGCCACAGTACATTGCTCCCCAGGCAAACTACAGCATGTTCAACTACAGCAAAACACAACATGCTTCTCAGCTAAACACTCCAGCGGCACATAGCGGACAATTTTTTGAACTCTCAGTCCTTGTACTCAGACAATGAGAGTAGTTTTTTAAGCTGTAGTAAGGAGATATGTTATATATTAGATATTATTAATTTCTTGAGATTTATGACATTGAAAATATTGTTGGTTTTGTTCAAAGTTTATAATACATCTTATTAAAGATGATGCATACTGTAAATGATATATAAGGTTATAAAATATTATTGGTATATTTAATTATTGCTGGTATATTGAATTGTTACTAGTATTTTGCATGCACTCTGATGATATAATTAACTGTACATTTATGGAGCAAATTCAACCAGAAGTTTATGGTAAGTTTCTCACTCTAAGTGTTGATGAAACAATTCAAACAGAAAAATTACAGTAAAAGTTGACAAAACAACGAAAGTTATTAGCTACATAAAGGCCTGCAACATGATGCTATTTTGATGCAACTTGAAACATTAATTTGCTTTTAATTGAGTAATGTAAAATCAGCTAAAAGCAGTTTTTGCATTGTGCTAATGAATTTATACTAATGCATATTCATCTTCAAGTTACAAGAGATAGCACATCATGTAATCTGGCTGAGTGAATACTGTATAATTTTAAGGGTCAAAATAATTTGTGAGAACTCTCCTTATTTTCTTCCCTTCAGCTTCATTACAATCTGTTCTGTAGTTGTTGTGACTAGGTGCTGGCTGAAAGTGGCTATCATAATAGCTGAACAAACTTTGTCTTCTCCAATAATCTCTTTGTGAACTTCACAAAAGTTGTGAAGGACAAAACATGCATAGACAACAGTAGAGATATCTTTAATGTTTATGTCCATTGCCCTCTTCAAAGCCCCAAACCTTGCTTTTAGACGACCAAATGTGCATTCAATCACCATTCTTGATTGGCAAAGGGTCATACCAAAATATTGCTCCTGAACTGTTGAACCTCCATTTGAGTATTCCTTCATGAGGTATGGCATAAGGGGATAGGCTGGATCTCCTAACAGGAATACTGGAATGGGATTCTCATCTGAAAGTATTTGTCGTGGGCATGGAGGTATTTCCCTACTCTTAAGAAAATAATTTAACTTTGAGTTGGAAAATACTCGGGCATCGTGAACACTCCCGGCCACTTGACGACGACGTCCATAAAGCAATACTTTAGTCACATGCAGCTTGAACATTTAATGTATACCGTCCTTTTCTATTTATGAAATCTGTGGAATTACATGCTGGTTGCCTAATTTCGATATGCGTACCGTCAATTGCGCCCAAACATTGAGGAAAGCCGTGCAATCTGTGGAAGTTCCTGATATGCCTCTCAACATCTTCTTTTGTGAATGGCAGTTTAATATATTCAGGTCCAAGTCGAATCGTGATAGCTTTACACACTTTACGAATTATTTTGGATACAACTTGACGCGATAATCCAAAGGCATTCGCTGTTTTTCGCATACGTCCCTCGTCACTTAAGTAATAGAGTGTGACCGCTACCTGCTTAACCACATCTACTGGGGACCGCATTATTGTTGTCTTGCCTTCTATGTATGGTCTAAGTTCGTCAGCTAATTCGTGGAGAGAACGTCGACTCATGCGAAAATTTTCACGCCATTCTTCTTCTATCACAGTTTGCCTGACAAAATTGTCCCACCAAGCGCTTGTACGTCCTGGTCGGACCCAAAATCTTCGACGACGAAATTGTTTTCCTGCTCGTTTTACTTGTTTATAGCGTCTGATCCGTGCATCAGACATGGAAATAAGCCTGAAGATATCAAGCTTGCGTTTGCAATAGTTGAAGTGTACAGAAAAAATTGCTAAGGTCAACTGAACACACGTTACAAGACTGGAAATAAGTCCAAGTAAAAGAGCAATGGTAACTGTATTAGTGGCCACCATGTTGAAAATTTGCGCTATAACAGTTGCTAGGCAATTCTGGTTACAAAAATATCCGGATTTACCGTCCACACGCATCCAAATTGTTTGCGGATACAAAAATTTTCACTCTAGAGAGCGGATTCAAAAGTTTCCGGATAACTCTCTGAAATATTCGGATGCGTGTGGACGAAAGGCCTATCCGCAACTTTTTTGTTGCGGATACGAAAATATCCGTATACGTGTGGACGGGGTCTTAAAAAGCAAAGCTTAAAATAATTCGCGATTTCGCTGCCAAGCAAGAAACCCGATGTAGTGTTCATCGCAGAAACATAGCTTACATGATACTTGTAATCTTGAGATATCTGAGTATAACATTGTTTATAAAAACAGAGCTTTTGGACCACATGGAGGTGGTGTATATATCTATATATAAAATAATTCTATTCAGTTGACAGTTTTTGACTAATTTAGTTCGACCACGTTTGAAGTTTTTTGGGTTAAATTATGCCAATCAACTAGTTATAAACTAATTAGTTCAATCATTTACAGAAATGGACATTTTCATATTCTTCGGGTGAAGTCGTTTTGAATTGTGCTTTTAATAGACTTAACTTTAGCCATCTAACGGATCAATTCTGATTACCAGAAACATCTTGAAATATACCTAAATGATACAACCAAACATCGGACATGATGTTAACAAATCTTTATAGTTTCTACAATAAGAATTCTATATCAACTTTCCTTCATTTAATTTATCAGAATACAATGTAATGTTATCTTATCAAGGCGTGAGATTTACTTTTCCCAACATTTAAGCCAACGAACGCCTATTTTGTCTTATTCAACTTAAACAAGCAAATGAAACAAAAGTTCCACAATCTGATATTGTAAATTTTCATGTATAAGACCGACTTAATTATGGAGCTAAGGTTTATTTTAACAAACACCCAAAATACCAAGGAAATGGTAATAAAATTCAAACATGTTAATAAAAGCAATAAAGATCATAAGGCCGTATCTTTGCTTTACATAACAATAAACTTTTAATGTTTTGAATTCAGTTGCACAAAACAATTTGCCACGTATCAACTCAAAGGACGCAGCCATTTGACGCTTAACTTTTGAGAACGTTAAGTGATTTGAAAGATCGAATGTTCAAAGTTTTGAGCCATCAACTAGTAAAAGGTTTGTAAGACTAAAGACAAAGAATTATCGTGTATGTTAACGATGTATAAATGAGATCTTAAATAAAAGTTGTTCGTCAAATATAATTAATACAACTTTAATAAATATTAGTCTCAACCTCGTACTATAAAATATACATCATAGATACCCGTAGCAACTTGTGATCCTGTTGTTGTATACCAAATAAACAAAGTTACAAATACAAACAATTTGCTTACCAAAAAATCACTGTCTTCTAAAGGAAGTCGCGTTTATCATGATGTGCTTGCTTGCTAAGGAATTTAAATTGCTTGCTAGCATGGAATTATATTTTTCTTTGGGTCCGGACGGTAAATTTATAAAATATGTGTTAGTTCATTATACTTGTGATAGTATGAAATGACATTTATGAATCAGGAAGTAAATTTAGTTTGAAATTGCAAATGGACTCATACATGGCATCATGAAATATTTTAAATATTTAGTCCTTGACTTGTGATTTGATAAACTTAACTTTTGCCACCATACGAATCAATTCAGATTACCAGAAACAGCTTGTAGTTAAATATACCTTAAGATACAAACACACATTGAACTTGATGCTAACAAATCTTTATAATTTCTACAAGACTACAACAAGAATTCTCTATCATATTCCCTTCATTTGATTTATTAGATCAAGAAGATAATGAAATGTCACCTTATCCAACGTTTGGATTTACTTTTCTTAACATTAGAGTAACAAACGCATGTTTTTTCTTATTCAACTTAAACAAGCAAAATTTCCACAATATGATATTGTGAATTTTTATACCACCTCATCTGTATAAGACCAATTTCTGAGGATGGAGCTGAAGTTTTCATCACTTACTCCCAAATATCTTGAAAACCGTAAAATTTAGTAAAATTTATACTTCTCATTTCTATTGATCAATTTGATCCAAATTATATTCAATTTTATGAACATAAACAATAAAAGTCATAAAACCATATCTTTGCTTTACATAATCTATTCTTGAGATGTTTTAAATTCCGTAGCACAAAACAATTTTCCACGTATCAACTCAAAGGAAGAATATATAACACTTGACTTGTTAAAACGTTAAATCTATCTAAAAGTTCAACTGTTCAGTGCTACACGCCGTTAGCCAGTAAAACGTTTGTAAGACAAAAAAAAAAATTTCATGCTTAATTGCGACGTATAAATGTGACCTATGGAAGTTTGTAAATTCTGTAATTGTAGATAAATCAAACGAAGTTACATTTCCAAACACGAAAAATATGCTTACCAAAAACAAATCACTGCCATCTTAAACAAGGTAAGGCTTTTTCTAAAGTATATGTAATTATTTATGACTCACCACAAAGTACATTTTTTTTAAAAGCGCAAATGGACTCATACATGTCATCATTGAATAGTTTAGATATTTAAATCGTTTTAGAAGTAGAAATATTAATCCGCAAGTGTGTTTATCTTTATCATAAACTCTAGTATTGCTTGCTCAATTTAGTAACTCCACATTTTAAATGAAGCTAAAGAATTTTGCTCATCTTTGTGACGTTGCAATCGTCTTTCGTCAAAGCTAAGTTGTTGACGCTCATGTCGATGCTAAGTTCATCGAATTAAATAATAAAAGTTAGGCAATCTGAAAAATACGACTAAGCTATAGAGTTTCACAAAAAAGTTATGGAAAATAAAGAACAATCGTCAGGTCCAAATCATGTTGATGTCGCTCAGTATTTAAACAATCTTGGTGATATGTTTTATGAAACTGGAAACTACGAGAAAGCTATAGAGTTTTACAAAAAAGGTCTGGAAATTCGAAAACAATCGTTAGGTCCAAATCATGTTGCTGTTGCTAAGTCTTTAAACAATCTTGGTATGGTGTTTAATAAAATTGGAAACTACGACAAAGCTAAAGAGGTTCACGAAAAAGCTCTAGAAATTCGAAAACAATCGCTAGGTCCAAATCATGTTGATGTTGCTGATTCTTTAATCAATCTTGGTAATGTGTATTATATTACTGGAAACTACGACAAAGCTATAAATTTTTACGAAAAAGCTATAGAAATTCGAAAACAATCGTTAGGTCCAAGTCATGTTGATCTTGCTGTTTCTTTAAACAATCTTGGTTTAGTGCTTGAAAAAACTGGAAACTACGACAAAGCTATTGAGGTTCACGAAAAAGCTCTAGAAATTCGAAAAAAATCGTTAGGTCCAAATCATATTGATGTTGCTGTTTCCTTAAATAATCTTGGTTTGGTGTTTGAAAAAATTGGAAACTACGAAAAAGCTATAGAGGTTCACGAAAAAGCTCTAGAAATTCGAAAACAATCGTTAGGTCCAAATCATGTTGATGTTGCTGTTTCTTTAAACAATCTTGGTTTGGTGTCTGAAAAAACTGGAAACTACGACAAAGCTGTAGAGCTTCACAAAAAAGCTCTAGAAATTCGAAAACAATCGTTAGGTCCAAATCATGTTGCTGTTGCTAAGTCTTTAAACAATCTTGGTATGGTGTTTAATAAAATTGGAAACTACGACAAAGCTAAAGAGGTTCACGAAAAAGCTCTAGAAATTCGAAAACAATCGTTAGGTCCAAATCATGTTGATGTTGCTGATTCTTTAATTAATCTTGGTAATGTGTATTATATTACTGGAAACTACGACAAAGCTATAAGTTTTACGAAAAGCTCTAGAAATTCGAAAACAATCGTTAGGTCCAAGTCATGTTGATCTTGCTGTTTCTTTAAGCAATCTTGGTTTAGTGCTTGAAAAAACTGGAAACTACGACTAAGCTATTGAGGTTCACGAAAAAACTTTAGAAATTCGAGAACACTCGTTAGGTCCAAATCATGTTGATGTTGCTCAGTCTTTAAACAATCTAGGTAATGTGCTTAAAGAAACTAGAAACTACAACAAAGCTAAAGAGTTTTACGAAAAAGCTCTGGAAATTAGAGGAAAATCGTTAGGTCCAAATCATGTTGATGTTGCTCAGTCTTTAAACAATCTTGGTTTGGTGTATTAAAAAACTGGAAACTACGACAAAGCTAAAGAGTTTTACGAAAAAGCTCTGGAAATTCGAGAAAAATCGTTAGGTCCAAATCATGTTGATGTTGCTCAGTCTTTAAACAATCTAGGTAATGTGCTTAAAAAAACTAGAAACTACGATAAAGCTATAAAATTTCACGAAAAAGCTCTGGAAATTCGAGAAAAATCGTTAGGTCCAAATCATGTTGATGTTGCTCAGTCTTTACACAACCTTGGTTTGGTGTATTACAAAACTGGAAACTACGACAAAGCTAAAGAGTTTTACCAAAAAGCTCTCAAAATTCGAAAAAAATCGTTAGGTCCAAATCATGTTGATGTTGCTCAGTCTTTACACAATTTTGGTTTGGTGTATTACAAAACTGAAAACTACGACAAAGCTATAGAGTTTTACGAAAAGCTCTGAAATTGAAAAAATCGTTAGGTCCAAATCATGTTGATGTTGCTCAGTCTTTACACAACCTTGGTTTGGTTTATTACAAAACTGGAAACTACGACAAAGCTAAAGAGTTTTACGAAAAAGCTCTGGAAATTGGAGAAAAATCATTAGGTCCAACTCATGTTGATTTTGCTCAGTCTTTACACAACCTTGGTTTGGTTTATTACAAAACTGGAAACTACGACAAAGCTAAAGAGTTTTACGAAAAAGCTCTGGAAATTCGAGAAAAATCGTTAGGTCCAAATCATGTTGATGTCACTGGGTCTTTAAACAATCTAGGTAATAAGCTTAAAGAAACTAGAAACTACCAAAAAGCTATAAAAGTTCACGAAAAAGCTCTGGAAATTCGAAAAAAATCGTTAGGTCCAAATCATGTTGATGTTGCTCAGTCTTTAAACAATCTTGGTTTTGTACATTATGAAACTGAAAACTACGACAAAGCCATAGAGTGTCACAAAGAGGCTCTGGAAATTCAAAAACGATCGTTAGGCCTTAATCATGTTGTTGTCGCTGAGACTTTATGTCGTCTTGGTTACCTTCTTCGTATGACAGGATATTGCGACAAAGCTAAAGAGTTTTACGAAAAAGCTCTGGAAATTCAAGAAAAATCGTTAGGTCCAAATCATGTTCATGTTTCTCAGTCTTTATACATACTTGGTTTTATGTGTTATGAAACTGGAAACTACGACAAAGCCATAGAGTTTTACGAAAAAGATCTTGAAATTCGAAAACGATCGTTAGGCTTTAATCATGTTGATTCTGCTCAGTTTTAAACCTTCTTGGTTTGGTGTATTATGAAACTGGAAACTACAAAAAAGCTAAAGAGGTTCACGAAAAGGCTATGGAAATTCAAGAACAATTGTTAGATCCAAATCATATTGAAGTTGCTTGGTCTTTAAACAATCTTGGTAATGTGCTTGAAAAAACTGGACACTACGACAAAGCTAAAGAAGTTCAACAAAAAGCTCTGGAAATTCGAGAACAATCGTTAGGTCCAAATCATGTTGATGTTTCTCAGTCACTAAACAATCTTGGATTGGTGTATAACAAAATCGGAAACTACGACAAAGCCATAGATTTTTACGAAAAAGCTCTGAAAATTCGAAAAAAATCGTTAGGCTCTAAACATGTTGATGTTGCTCAGACTTTAAACAATATTGGTTTGGTGTATTATGAAACGGGAAACTACAAAAAAGCTATAGAGGTTCACGAAAAGGCTATGGAAATTCACGAACAATTGTTAGATCCAAATCATATTGAAGTTGCTTGGTCTTTAAACAATCTTGGTAATGTGCTTGAAAAAACTGGATACTACGACAAAGCTAAAGAAGTTCTACAAAAAGCTCTGGAAATTCGAGAACAATCGTTAGGTCCAAATCATGTTGATGTTTCTCAGTCACTAAACAATCTTGGATTGGTGTATTACAAAATCGGAAACTACGACAAATCCATAGAGTTTTACGAAAAAGCTCTGAAAATTCGAAAAGAATCGTTAGGCTCTAAACATGTTGATGTCGCTCAGACTTTAAACAATCTTGGTTTGGTGTATTATGAAACGGGAAACTACGACAAAGCCGTAGAGTTTTACAAAAAAGCTCTAGAAATTCAAAAACGATCGTTAGGCTTTAATCATGTTTATGTCGCTGCGTCTTTATACAATCTTGGTGTGGTGTTTGAAAAAACTGGAAACTACGACAAAGCTAAAGAAGTTCACGAAAAAGCTCTAGAAATTCGAAAAAATCGTTAGGTCCAAATCATGTTGATGTTTCTCAGTCTTTAAACATTTTGGTTTTATGTATTATAAAGCTGCAAACTACGACAAAGCCATAGAGTTTTACGAAAAAACTCTGGAAATTCGAAAACGATCGTTAGGTTTTAATCATGTTGATGTTGCTCAGTCTTTAAACAATCTTGGTTTGGTGTATTACAAAACTGGAAACTACGACAAAGCTAAAGAAAATCACGAAAAAGCTCTAAAAATTCGAGAAAAATCGTTAGGTCAAAATCATGTTGATTTTGCTCAGTCTTTAAACAATCTTGGTTTGGTGTATTACAAAACTGGAAACTACGACAAAGCCATAGAGTTTTACGAAAAAGTTCTGGAAATTCGAAAACAATCGTTAGGCTTTAAACATGTTGATGTCGCTGGGTCTTTAAACCATCTTGGTTTGGTGTTTTATAAAACTGGAAACTACGACAAAGCCATAGAGTTTTACGAAAAAGCTCTGGAAATTCAAAAACAAACGTTAGGCTTTAATCATGTTGATGTCGCTGCGTCTTTACACAATCTTGGTGTGGTGTTTGAAAAAACTGGAAACTACGACAAAGCTAACGAGGTTCAGGAAAAAGCTCTGGAAATTCGAGAACGATCGTTAGGTCCAATTCATGTTGATGTTGCTGCGTCTTTAAACAATCTTGGTTTGGTGAACTATAAAACTAGAAACTACGACAAAGCTATAGAGTTTTACGAAAAAGCTCTGGAAATTCAAAAACAATCATTAGGTCCAAATCATGTTAATGTCGCTGCGTCTTTAAAGAATCTTGGTTTGGTGTTTGAAAAAACTGGAAACTACGACAAAGCTAACGAAGTTCACGAAAAAGCTCTGGAAATTCGAAAACGATCGTTACGTCCAAATCATGTTGATGTCGCTGCGTCTTTAAACAATCTAGGTACTGTTTTTTTTTTAATCTGAAGATGACTACCGCTAAGGTTGATGAAACGTCAGTCAACAACAACAAAAATAGTCCTTCTGAGAACTATACGATAGTGGCCTCTCGCTATCATCACTATTTTCCGTGTGTCAATTTAGTTTTCAGTTATATTTTCATTTCAAAAACAAATTTCACATGAAACTTTACTTTACAATGTAAATTTAGTTTTAATTTCATAATATAAGTACGTATTTTATTCATTTTCATTCTAAAAGCGTAAATGAAATTTAAAAAGCATTTTCCCACCCGTGGCCCAGCACTACCACCACTGATCTTATAATAGTCAGGATATAGTTGTCTATAGTTAGCAAAAAAGTGAAGCCGAATTATATATGCAAAAATTCACTTCCGGGTAACACAGGAGATACAAACAAATGACAAACATGGTTTTCGAGTATTTAAGGCATTTCACGATCTTTTACTAATCTCAAATATCTGTAATGGATAAAACAAGTTTTATAAAACAATTTGACATCGAAATGCTCTCGATAGCTGTGTAATATCGGCGTTCGTGTGCTTATTTAAAAATTTTCTGTGCAACAATAGGCTCCATTACTATTAACTGCCAAGGCAATATAATTCACTGCTCGCTTTCCAAGTTCTGATGCGTTATGATCTAGAATAAGTTTCAATGCTTTCAACATAAGTTTTTTATTTTATAATAATAATATAATCACCACGCCCTGCTGCAGCATTTAAATATGGCTTTATAGATGAGTAAGTTGGTTGTTGTTGACAAAAGTATCCAACATATGTATCAATTGCAGTCTGTGCAATTAATACAGCAGTACTAATTTTGCAGTACTGCAAGACGTTGCAACTCTATACATGGCTCATTATATTGGCAGATGCTACAAAACAAAACAGCCTGCGCCCCACATTACTTGTCAAGAAGTTGTTGGTACAGTGGCTCACAAGGGACACCACACAAAATAATAAGAATTATACAAAATAAAGATATTAATACAAACACAAAATACACCACACACATGCAAAATAAAAATACAAACACAAAATACATTATACACACACAAGATACAAACACAAAATAAAAATACACACACAAAATATGATCGCGGGCGCTTGCAGTGTCGGATAGCTTAGTACTATCAGTTTATTATAAGGTTGTAATCAGATATGTGTAATTGGGAGTTTAACATGTGGTCGGCTAGTACTTGTCGAATTTTGCATATATAATTCGGCTATACTTTATTGCTAACTATAGAAACTATATCCAGACTATTATAAGATCAGTGGTGATAGCGATTGGCCACGGGTGGGAAAGTGCTTTTTAAATTTTATTTACGCTTTTAGAATGAAAATAAATAAAATACGTACTTATATAATGAAATTAATATTAAATTTACATTGTAAAGTAAAGTTTCATGTGAAATTTGTTTTTGAAATGAAAATACAACTGAAAATAAAATTGAATATTTTATGCAGTGCGGGGTTTGAAATTAAATGAAGATATGATCTTCGCACTTTGCTGAACAATTTAAGCAATCGTCTCAGGAACCTGAAAAAATCAGGTGACACAACGGGATTCAAACCCAATGCCTCTGCGGTGCCGGTGCAGTGCTCTGACCAACTGAGCTAACAGTAATTAAACAACAACGCTAAAAAATGTGTTAATGTCTGTTCTGCTTACAATTTTCGCTCTTCGACAGGTTGTATAAAATTCCATAAATTTGTAATAGTTTCCTTGTCCTCAAAACAGACAGTCAACAACAACGGACTTTAACAAATTTTTCTTATAATTACTAAGATACTCGACAGAGATTGGCGACAACAGTTCGTTAACACTTATAAAAGTCTGAACTCATTACAACTCCCTTAATAACCGAGTGTGAAGTCTTTACGGGGAAATATCGGACTGAAGTTATTTGTACTGACCGAGACCCTTAGGGCGAGGTTTGTGATAAAAACAGAGGTCCGAAATTTCTCAATAAAGACCGAGCAGGCGAGATTAATAAAAAGTCAATTAGCTATATGGTATAATTGACCTGAAACGAAGCTTTCTTTTCTTTTTCCATTCTTGCTGTTTTGCAAGGACTGGCTTTCACTCCTCTAGTTTTTACCAGCAGAAAATATATAGTTTGAAATTGTGTCGCCTAGATAATATAACCCACTTTTCGAGTGTTCTTTTTTGACTTACATTCATACCATGGTTTTTTGTTTTGTTTATATTTTCGTTTTACGAAACATTTGCTGTTTGCTTCATGAAGTTTTGGTAAAACACAAGACAATAGACACTCTGTTTGTAGTAAACATTACTTATCTACTATCCAAAACTTTCCAATTTATTTGTGCTATTTCTTTTGAGCGCTAGGTGTAAATTCATTTTTTTACTTGTTGTCAAAATAGAAATACACAGCTTGAGTGGATAAAATTTTTTAATATATTTTTCTTAGAAACCACAACTGGTGAGGATTTTATTACCAAAGATGTTGTAATTTCTCCTGGTGTTGAAAATACAAAACAATGTATGCCTTTCAATTCTAATTTTTTATATATATTGCGTACCCTAAGCATATTTGTTTTGAATTGTATCACAATTCAAGGCATTTGATTGGTATTTATGTGTTTTTATGAAGATTTGTATTATTTAATAATATGCATGATATACGTATACAGTGTTGCACTTTCGGACTCCAAACGCTCGTTTATTACGTATGTTCAATACTGTAGCAATGACTTAAATTTTTCTTTTTTTTGATAACGGCAAATAATTTAAGTGTACTGTGTACCAGTTGGCAGTGCTCAGCACAACTTGACAAGTATTTGTTCATCTCAATAAATGCGGCGTAGCAGCAAAGTGGCGCAACTCTTTTTATAAATTGCGCAAAAATTGACTACACTGCATAAGTTCCATGGAAGAAAAAGGATTACAATATATAGACTAAAACCTTTTAAATCAAATCTCGACATAATGTACACTATACAGGTAAACCCTGCATTTTAGAAGTGTTCAGGTTAGACCATCTGTTTTGAAAGTGCTCGTGTTTGATTACGTTAATTACTATTTTTTTTGTTAGAGTACAGGAGATTAGTCGGAGTATAACTTTATTTCCATATAGAAATTTATGTTTTTTTACTCCTGGCTTACAGCATCGAAAGTGTTGAAACAATTAAAAAAACATCACCAAGTCCAAGTTCTAATAAAAATTTTCTTCAAATACAGTCTTCAGTCAACCTTTCATATTAACAATCGTTATGAGATATATATGAGTTTTTTTCATCACATGTCTGAGCAACACTGAATGGTAACATTTGCGGCTGGTTTAATCTGTTTTAGCCATTGCTGTAAAATTTTCTCACTTTAAAAATTGTACTTGAAGCACATTATCAGTCTGTTGAAATTAAAATGAAACATGAGGTGATAATCACAACATCAGTCTGATGATGAATTTGTAACAAATTCGCACCACCATGCATATATTACCTAGCTAATAACATTGAAAATGAGGCAAAGAACGGCCACCATCAAATGGACTTGCTCGATATACTTCAATAAATAAGAATTCCTGTTCATTGTAATAAAAATACCTGAAAATCATATGGAAAATGAGCAAATTTGAACATGTGAATTCTCAAAGTTCAACAATAAAAGGAAGGCTATTTACAACTTTAATTATGAATAATATAGCATTAAATTGCACATTTATTAAACGATCTTCTAAATTCTAAATTTACAGAAAATTACAAGTTTTTTTGAGCTCTCTCTTTGCTAAGTATACTGGAGATTACCTCTTTAGTGCAAACATCATTCAAAAGTCCAAAAGATCATTTTCTAGCTTAGCATTAAATTTTGAATACTTTTTACTCAGAATTGCTTTTTGAAAGTTGTATAGAGCATAAAAGTTGCTGTATCAGTTTTTTCTAATAGAAAGTTTCCCAAAATAGATAAGCAAATAGCGTTACTAATCGCAAAACTTAAAAACAACGACTTTATTCATTGATTTCAATAAATTACTCCCACTGATCTCAAAAGAAATAAATATAATTATTTCGACTATATTAGAAGAGCAAATGAGTCCAAAGATCTCATTTATAAATTAAATTGTGTCTTAATTGATGATTGTCAACTGGCTTGATGACCTCCATTAAAAAGTGCACGTAAACCAGACCAAGCCACTTACGACTTAAGCCTCCCGATTGAGCAAGACTAACGCTGCTGCTGAAATATCGCTTACAGAACTCAATGACTGTATCATGTTTGCTCAGATACTGTAGCAAGGACCACTGTCTAGAGTAGGGGTGGGCAACATACGGCCCGCCGGCAGGGTCCGGCCCCTGAAGGGATTTTGACTTGCCTGCCGATTGTATCCGTCTATATCTGTGATTAAGATATGTAATATTATTCATATAATAATCCGACCCACCAATAACTTCATTTTCCTAAATCTGGCTCGCCGACTGGAGAAGTTGCCCATCCCTGGTCTAGAGGACCCAAACTATAAATTTTAGTGGGATCGGGAAGGGGATGTTTAATAACGCTGCCGATGAATTATCGCTTACATAACTCAATGGCTGTATCATGTTTTCTCAGATATTGTAGCACAGACCGCTGTATAGAGGACCGAAACTAAAACTTTTAGTGGGGTGGGTGAGGAGGTGTTTATTAACGCTTCTGCTGAAATATCACTTACAGAACTCAATGGCTGTATCATGTTTTCTTAGATGTTGTAACATGGATCACTATATAGAGGGCTGAAACTAGAACTTTTAGTGGAGTGGTGGAGGAGGTGTTTAATAACGCTGCTGATGAAATATTGCTTACAGAACTTAATTACTGTATCATGTTTTCTCACATATTGTAGCACAGATCACTGTATAGAGGGCCGAAACTGTAACTTTTAGTGTTCTGGGGGAGGGGGTGTTTAATAACGCTTCTGCTGAAATATCGCTTACAGAATATAAATGGTTGTATCATGTTTTCAATGATATTGTAACATGGACCACTATATAGAGGGCTGAAACTAGAACTTTTAGTGAGGTGGGAGGAGGGATGTTTATGAACGCTGCTGCTGAAATACTTCTTACATACTTCAATGATTGTATAGTGTTTTATCAAATATTGTAGCACTGACCACTGCATAGAGGACAAAAACTATAATTTTAGTGTTGTGGGGGAAAGGGTGTTTAATAACGATGCAGCTGAAATATCGCTTACAGAACTCAATGGCTGTATCATGTTTTCTCAGACATTGTAGCACGGACCACTGTTTAGAGGGCCGAAACTAGAACGTTTAATGTAAAAGGAGCTATTCATATCTTCATTTGTAGTCGAATGACTTATTGTGAAAGCCAAATTCTTGTGAAAGTTAAATGAACTGAAAAATATGGCAGAAATTTGAATGGCTTACTTTTATTGTGGTGTTAAAGAATTATTGATAGGGCAAGATTCCTTTTCTCCTTGGGTAAAAATTTTATTCAAAGGGAAATTTCCTTGATAACCCTGACACATGACAGACAAATTGTTTCTTACTCATAAATCATCATATGCTGGATAAAATATTTCAAAACTACAAATAACCATATTCAGTTTCGCAAGGGGAAAATTATACCAGCAGTGCTGCACGAGAATGAGAAAAAAACACGAGGTAGAGCTTTAGTTTACGGTGATATAGATAACAATCGTCACTTTACCAAGGTGCATAAGAGGAACAGTAAATATCAGATATCAAACCAACGTTTGAGAGAATAATATTTAGGGATTTGATTGAATTTCAACATTAAAAGTTTGGCAGAAAACATAAGAAAGTTCATCCGGTAAGAGGGTGTATAAATGATCCTGACTTCACTAACTGGAATTCAGCGAGGCGTTAAATGATTTTGGCAAAGGGAAACAAGTCAGTGCTTATTATCAGATAAATCTCTTTAAGGAATTTCACGACATTCTGATCTAATAACAGAGCAAAAATTTAAAATTGAAACAACCAGTTTGGCCTAATTTTATAATTTCAACAGGAATGACTTTGTTCCTTTAACAAACAGTTGTAACTTTTAAGCTTGAAGTTTTCCCCCCTTTAAAGGCCTTGAAATCATTTCACGTTTGTTAAGCGCCACAAGTCATTCCCGCTAACATTTTTAAAATTAGGCCAATTTGGTTGTTTTCATTTTAAACGTTCTGCGTAATTATTAAATTAGTCAAATGAGAATATTATGAAAATGCTCGAGAAGATTTATCTGTTGATGAGTATTGAATCATTTCCATTTGCCAAAGTCATTTAAAGCTTTGCTCAATCTCGGCTACCGGATCATGCATTCAGCCACTAAAAGACGAGTGTAAAAAACATGCTCTAAAAATTTTAACTTAATATGTTCTTAACATTAAAAACAACACGATTTATGTAATTCATAATAGTGCAAGAGATTTTTCATGAATTGACCAAGGCAGACATTATTGCCTCTTAATCTAGAGTCTCCTGCTTTTATTTAAGTATGTTTTACGGTGAGTTGTAACATACTATAGCTAGATTGCACAACCGTGTTTTACTTTTGCTGTAAGGATTGGTTTGCAATGGTAACAAGTCTTCATCAATTTTCACAAGACTGTGAATTATTTGGTACTCGTTTACATAACACACGTCATTCTTTTTTAAATGTCCTACGTAGTCGCACAGAAATCTAAGTATAACATCGGACTGAATTGTAAGAGATATTCTATATGTATGCACTTAGTAAGTATGTAAGATTTATAACTCATGCAACGGTACACAAACCACCTGCTGAAATTTATTATCCACTAAAGCACCACCTTTTACTGGAAGGAAACGAACGTACATCGTAATCCCATTTACTTCCAAAATTGAAGGGAAGTGTCAATAAACAAATACGAATATTTTCAGAAAGCAAAATTTAATTTAATTAAATTGAAGCATTTGTATGTACAGTGTACTATTATGTCATAAAAAATTGCTATTCTCTTCTACACATAAACTATACGTCATAAAAATCATCTTCTTTACTTTTAAGACTTCTTTTAAATGAATGATTTTTTAAAAAATTCGTTTTCAGACTGGACCACATATATTTGCCAAAAAATTATAACTGGGATATACTTATCTTAAACATAAGAATAGCCACAAATGCCTTTTCTATTACAATGTACAATTTGAGATGTTTACGTCAAAAATTACTTAAAAACTATAACTATAATATGGGCATTTCTAACACAAGAACAGTGTCTTGGGAATCAAACCCAAAGACTAAATTGTACCGCTCCTAAAAGATGTGTTTGACATTTTTGGTAAATCATAGCTGTTTGAAATAAATTAAACAGATCACAGATTTATCAAAGAATTCAGAAATTTCATCTTCCGAAGATTGTCAGACGGTCAAAAATGGTTCATGCTAACGTCAACTTTATCTGGAGCACGTACTCTAAACAACTTCTTTTACAAAATGAATTCTGTGTTTAGTCTTGATGATTGTTATAACATGAAGTAGAACTTTTGTCTCTTACCAAGGACACTGTTTTCTTATAATTAACCGAAATAAAAGATCTCTTATGGCAAATCCTAAACGGTATAAACCAAGACCGAACACAAAGTCGCGAGAACTTGGAGAATACTGAACAGGAAAAACCACTAGGGATTTTAGCCGAAAATTGTTATTGATTGGAATTTCGTAAAACGTGTCCTTTACACAACTAATCCATATCCGAATAAGTCAAACCTAGCGCCACTTAAGCTTCCTTATTTTGCTCCATTTCATTCAGTGCTTTGCGCGCCAAGCACTTCATAGGAGATCCAAGAGTGCTTTAATAGTCCCTGTAGAAAGCCGTTTATGAAATTGGCTAACTACAACGAC